CTTGCCACCCTTGGGAGCTTTTGTCCAACAGTAAGTGCTCCTGCCTCCCATGTCCCTCAGGAAGGTTGGGGAGTCGTGGTTGAGTTCACATTTTAGACTAGGCTTAGGCTAAGTTTAGAAATCTTGATAAACCGTTTATACTAGCGGAGTAACTTTATGCCTCTCTTTCCCTTTCTGTAAAATTCGTATAAAAATACCTACCTTCTATTATTTGCTTAGCTTGTAAATAGTCAAAGTAGTTGTTGCTATGATTCTTTCCTAAAATGTGCCAGATTAGTTACTCGCATACTACTTAGAATTTATTAGAATTGGTTGCGTATTCTCTGGCTTTTTTGTTTTTGCTTTTAAAAAATCAGGACCTGTTCTCAGAGGATTCTTATGCACGAACAAGCCTGTCTGCTGTTTTTTCAGGTGTTTACTCGAGAGTGTATGAGCCACTACCTGAGAGTGTTTAACTTCCTCTGGAGGGCCAAGCGGATGGAGTACATCCTCACTGACATACGGAAGGGACACATGTGCAACGCGAAGCTTCTGAGGAACATGCCGGGTAAGACCTGTCACCTTTTGCAGCCTGCGCTGCATGTGGGTTCCAGTGGCACAGCGGGAGCCCGAGTTTCCTTAAAGTGACCGAGCTGAAAGGGATTCACTATTTTGTTTTTGGGTTTGGTTTTTGTGAAACATCTTATTTGCTTATCTTGACTTCAGTGCAAATCAGAAAATAAAAAAATTGAGTCAAGCTAGATTTTTTTCATGAATTTTCTTTTAAAATCACGTTTGTTTTTCACTCTAATGTTCATATGTATACTTTAATTTTTTTAATTACTAGTTTTTAAGGTAAGAAAGCTGTTTAATAAATCACTAGCTCATTAAAAATTCACTTAGTGTGTTAGTTAAATTCTGTTTGTGAATTTCTTGAATGTTTTGCTCATGTAGTAGAACATGGAAATATTTATATTATTTTACAATTTAAAATTATAGTAATCTTCTCAAGTGTCAGATAGTCAAGATTATTTTAATGTTATAAATATTGAATGACTTCACTTATGAATAATTTTGAAATCTTTATATTGAAATTGATTTGGTCAGAACCTTTAAGAAAATTTCAATAAGTATGTCTTTAAAGAGTTTAGTATATAGGTTGGTATATGCTCTTAAATCTTTGGTGAAAAGTAGTTGTTAAAGATAAAAAAGGAGCAGTTGTTTGAAGAGAGGAGTTCATGATCTCTCCTTCTTTACTAGGGCAAAGGCTGATCCTTGAGCAG